TTGGGAGTCCACCTGCCGATGCGGGGGACGTGGGTTCGTGCCCCGGTCCGGGAGGATCCCACGTGCCGCGGAGCGGCTGCGCCCGTGAGCCGTGGCCGCTGGGCCTGTGCGTTCGGAGCCTGTGCTCTGCGGTGGGAGAGACCACAGTGGTGAGAGACCCGCGTACCGCAAAAAAAAAAAAAAAAGATAATTATTAGCAGTGATTTCTAATTATATATGAAATAAAACTCAAAAATACGAATTTAGGGACTTCTCTGGTGGTGCAGTGGTTGAGAATCCGCCTGCCAAGGCTAGGGACACGGGTTCGAGCCCTGGTCCGGGAAGATCCCACATACTGCGGAGCAACTAAACCCGTGCACCACACCTACTGAGCCTGCGCTCTAGAGCCCGTGAGCCACAACTACTGAGCCCACGTGCCACAACTAATGAAGCCTGTGTGCCTAGAGCCCATGTTCCACAACAAGAGAAGCCACCACAACGAAGAGTAGCCCCGGCTCGCCGCAACAAGAGAAAGCCTGCGCGCATCAACGAAGACCCAACGCAGCCAAAAAAATAATAATAATAATTAATTAATTTTAAAAAATGCTAATTCAACTTCTGTAAACTTTGTGGACATCAAGACAGGGGCTGGAATGGGGTGAAGTTTTTTTTGTTCTTTTAATAAGTAACAGAATGCTCTGTTTAAAAAAGTTAGAAAATACAGATTGGCCAAAAGAACAAAATCAGTACTCAGAAATAACCACTGTTTATCTTTTGGTGTATATCCTCATGATGATGACTACATGTATTAAAACAAAAAAGGACATTTGAAACAAACAGTATCACACTGAACAAGCTGTTTTATAGCCAGCTGTTTTTCAATGAGTAAAGGGAGGTCTACAGGCAAATGTACTGGGTTTTTGTCTGGTTTTTTTCTTATTGTAATAAAAGCCACCTAACATAACATTTTCCATTTTAAAGTGTACAGCTCAATAGTGTTAAGTATATTCACATCGTTGTAAAATAGATCTCCAGAGCTTTTCATCTTGCAAATCTGAAACTCTGTACCCACTAAACAATTCTCCTTTCCCCCTTCCCCCAGCCCCTGGCAACCACCATTCTACTTTCTGTTTCTCTGAGTTTGACTATTTTAGATGCCCCATATACGTGGAATCATACAGTATCTGTTGCTTTGTGATTGGCTTATTTCACTTACCATAATGTCCTCATGCTTCATCCATGTTGTAGCATGTGGCAGAGTTTCCTTCCATTTTAAGGCTGGATAGTATTCCATTGCATGTATGGACCACATTTGTTTATCCATTCCTCCACTGATGGACTTTATTGCTGTTTCTACCTTTTGGCTATTATGAATAATGCTGCTGTGAATGTGGGTATGCAAATAGCTCTACAAGACCCTGCTTTCCATTCCTTTGGATATATACCCAAAAGTGGGATTGCTGGATCATATAGCAGTTCTTTTTTTTTTTTTTTAATATATATTTATTTATTTGATTGCACTGGGTCTTAGTTGCGGCAGGCGGGCTCCTTAGTTGTGGCTCGTAGGCTCCTTAGTTGAGGCTCACTGGCTCCTTAGTTGCAGCACGTGGGCTCATTAGTTGCGGCGCTCAGGCTCCTTAGTATGGCATGAGAACTCTTAGTTGTGGCGTGCATGTGGGATCTAGTTCCCTGACTATCGAACATGGGCCCCCTGCATTGGGAGTGCAGAGTCTTAACCACTGTGCCACCAGGGAAGTCCCCATATAGTAGTTCTATTTTTAATTTTTTGAGGCAGCTACATACTGTTTTCCATAGTGGTTGCATCATTTTACATTCTCATCAGCAGTGTACAAGGGTTCCTATTTCTCCACATCCTCTCCAACACTTACTTTCTTTTTCATTTTTTCTTTTTTTGCGGTACATGGGCCTCTCTCACTGTTGTGGCCCCTCCCGTTGTGGAGCACAAGCTCCGGACACGCAGGCTCAGTGGCCATGGCTCACGGGCCCGGCCGCTCTGCGGCATGTGGGATCCTCCCGGACCGGGGCACGAACCCGTGTCCCCTGCATCGGCAGGCGGACTCTCAAACACTGCGCCACCAGGGAAGCCCTCTTTTTCTTTTTTTTTTCCACATTTTTTTTTTTTTTACATCTTTATTGGAGTATAATTGCTTTACAATGGTGTGTTAGTTTCTGCTTTATAACAAAGTGAATCAGTTATACATATACATATGTTCCCATATCTCTTCCCTCTTACGTCTCCCTCCCTCCCACCCTCCCTATCCCACCCCGCTAGGTGGTCACAAAGCACCGAGCTGATCTCCCTGTGCTATGCGGCTGCTTCCCACTAGCTATCTACCTTACGTTTGGTAGTGTATATATGTCCATGCCTCTCTCTCACTTTGTCACAGCTTACCCTTCCCCCTCCCGTGTCCTGAAGTCCATTCTCTAGTAGGTCTGTGTCTTTATTCCTGTCTTACCCCAGGGTTCTTCATGACCTTTTTTTTTCTTTTCTTAAATTCCATATATACGTGTTAGCATACGGTATTTGTCTTTCTCTTTCTGACTTACTTCACTCTGTATGACAGACTCTAGGTCCATCCAGCTCATTACAAATAGCTCAATTTCCTTTTCTTTTTATGGCTGAGTAATATTCCATTGTATATATGTGCCACATCTTCTTTATCCATTCATCCAATGATGGACAGTTAGGTTTTTGTTTCCATCTCCAGGCTATTGTAAATAGAGCTGCAGTGAACATTTTGGTACATGACTCTTTTTGAATTATGGTTTTCTCAGGGTATATGCCCAGTAGTGGGATTGCTGGGTCATATGGTGTCTACTTGTAGTTTTTTAAGGAACCTCCATACTGTTCTCCATAGTGGTTGTACCAATTCACATTCCCACCAGCAGTGCAAGAGTGTTCCCTTTTCTCCACACCCTCTCCAGCATTTATTGTTTCTAGATGGTTTGATGATGGCCGTTCTGACTGGTGTGAGATGATATCTCATTGTAGTTTTGATTTGCATTTCTCTAATGATTAATGATGTTGAGCATTCTTTCATGTGTTTGTTTGCAGTCTGTATATCTTCTTTGGAGAAATGTCTATTTAGGCCTTCTGCCCATTTTTGGATTGGGTTGTTTGTTTTTTTGTTATTGAGGTGCATGAGCTGCTTGTAAATTTTGGAGATTTAATCCTTTGTCAGTTGCTTCATTTGCAAATATTTTCTCCCATTCTGAGGGTTGTCTTTTGGTCTTATTTATGGTTTCCTTTGCTGTGCAAGAGCTTTGAAGTTTCATTAGGTCCCATTTGTTTATTTTTGTTTTTATTTCCATTTCTCTAGGAGGTGGGTCAAAAAGGATCTTGCTGTGATTTATGTCATAGAGTGTTCTGCCTATGTTTTCCTCTAAGAGTTTGATAGTTTCTGGCCTTACGTTTAGGTCTTTAATCCATTTTGAGCTTATTTTTGTGTATGGTGTTAGGGAGTGATCTAATCTGATACTTTTACATGTACCTGTCCAGTTTTCCCAGCACCACTTATTGAAGAGGCTGTCCTTTCTCCACTGTACATTCCTGCCTCCTTTATCAAAGATAAGGTGACCATCCTCTTTTCCTTTTTTGATAGTAGCCATCATAATGGGTATGAGGTGAACATATATACTGTTTTTTTTTTTTTTGTGTGTGGTACGCGGGCTTCTCACTGCTGTGGCCTCTCCCGTTGCGGAGCACAGGCTCCGGACGCGCAGGCTCAGCAGCCATGGCTCACGGGCCCAGCCGCTCTGCGGCATGTGGGATCTTCCCGGACCGGGCCCGAACCCGTGTCCCCTGCATCGGCAGGCGGACTCTCAACCACTGCGCCACCAGGGAAGCCCCATATGTATTGTTTTAACACAATCCTAGGGGGAATGCTTAAAATCCTCAAAAGAGCAAACCCTTTTGATACTGAGAAATGTGGAATCTTCCTTTTTATGTATAAATGACTAACAACCTTTCGGAAGCTTATAAAATTTAATCTCATCAAACATATTCTGCTTTTGGATGAGCCTCCCATCACTCCAAATTTTAGGGTATTTACTTATCGAAGGACAGTTCCTAGTTTTGTGATTTTGCAGCAGGTCAGCCCTTGATACTTGCTTTCTCCTTCTCAAAAACCGAACTTCCCAGTGTCTCTCTCTTTGATCTCCTCCAAGCCTTTAATCTCCTGCTCCTTCTCTGGTTCCCATCCCTGCCCTCTCCTCTTGAATGAGGTGTTTTCCATTGTTCCAACTTTCCAGCCTGGTTCCAACCTCTTCCCCTCAGCCCTCCCTGGCAGAGGCCCTGAAATTCCCCTACTTCACTCACACGCTGGGTCCCAGGAACCCTCAGATCTTTGTCTCTGGCTTCAGGCCCTTTGTTAACCTGATCCAGGAACCTGCTGGGGTGGGTGGGGGGAGGTTTGCATGTGCGTGCATGCGAGCGCCTGTGTGTGTGTGTGTGTCTAAGGTGAGATACTACAAGCTGTCATTCCCTTTGCAGACTTGGTTCCCAGGTATGCATCTCACCACACTGAATATCACCCTATTGTAGAGACACATTCTTTTTCTCACAACCTGACCCCTATATGCCAGTCAGCATCTAATCTGGACCCTCTGAAGAAACAGTCGGCTGTTAAAATGCCCAAAGAAACCATGTCTGAGAGACCATGCTGGCTCCTATGTGCTACCTTTCTAAAGGCTTTTCTTGAGCCCTTTATATTATACATTTTTTTTTTTTTGCCATAAATGCTGACCTTAGACTTTGATCCCCTCATGATGTAGGACTCCGCCATACCATTTTATCATTTTTAAAAATTGTATTTGAGACCTCCCTGGTGGTCCAGTTCTTAAGACTCTGCGATTCCACTGAAGGGGGCACGGGTTCGATCCCTGGTTGGGGAACTAAGATTCCGCCTGCCACGCAGCGCGGCCAAAAAAAAAAAAAAAAAATTGTGTTAAATTTACAACAATATACTGTACAGATTTTCTCATTTTTGCTTTTTTTTTAGTGTACAGATTTTAAGTTTACAGTGCAATGAGTTTTGACAAACATAAACCCCTATGAATTACAAGATTTTGATACACAGTCAGCTAATTTAGAGAAATTGCAAGAGTCCACAGAGCTGCTGGAAAGAGAATGGAGTTTGGAGTCAAGAGACCTGGTTACCAAGTCAAGCCTCACATTAACCAGCTGTGTGACTTTGGGCCTGTGCCCTCGCCTCTCTAGGCCTTGGTTTCTGATCTGTTCAGTGAAGAGGCTGTCTCTGGGTCCACGTGGCATAACAGGTATTGAACAAAGGTCACACAAGATTCCTGACATTATGCAGAGCTACTGTGTCCTGCTGATATTTGCAAAAGTGAATGTGCATCACCTGGATCCTGCCAATCAAATTGCTGAAGAAGAGAAACTGAAGAAACAATAACTATAACAATAAACAAAGATGGCAGAAATCAGCCACACCAAGCCCTACATCTTGTAGGAATGTATCAAATGCTTGTAAGTAAACCCTTCTCACATTTGTTTGCTCTGGTACATTAATAAAAGAAGATTCTGAAAGGATTAGCTTCAACTTCACCAGTACCCAAAACACCCTGTTTGCCAAGTACGTTGAGTTTAGCTCTTTTGCTGCTTGGAATCTAATGTGCCTTGCTGAAAGAGGAAAGGGCTTCTCTGACAACATAAGATGAATCCCTCCCATTATAGATAGCATTTTTCACTTTTCAAAGCCTTCTTGTCTGTTTCTTATTTGTTCTGTACATCGGTTCTATGACAGAAAGCAGGACAGGGATTATCCCTCCCCTTTTTTCAGGTGAGGATCCTGAGGCAAGGAAGGATGAAGTGAATGTTCTTACAGTCACCAACGAGCACACCCCTCTGATTTCCCAGCCCTGTGTTTTTGGGCTGTGCCCCACTCTTTTGCAAACAAATCAACCAACCCTGAGAACAGAGTCCAAGGAGAACTAAAAACAGTAACAAAACCAAGAAGGGCATTCATAGGTGGCAGTTCACAGTAACAAATGTTTGTGGCCTTCCCACTAGGTATTAACGCTTGCAGTTCTCCCAACAGCCCAACGAGTGTTCTATCTGTTTTACAGAAGAGGAAATGGAGGCACCAAGAGGGCTCCTGGCTTGCTCAAGCTCACAAAGCAAGGAGGTTGTGGAGCTCAGATTCTGCCCAGGCCACCTGGCTCAGAGCCCTGGCCCTTCGCCCCCATGCTACACTGCCTCCTGTTGCACCATGCTGCTGAGTAAAGAGCTTTGATTTGACAAAGCTGTTGATTGACAAGATGAGCAGCTCTGAGAGGGCGCGAGGCCTTTATTCTGGGCACTTCGAGTGGAATCAAGGTGATGGTGATCATTACTGAGCACTGTTTAGGGCAGGTAGGGTTTAGGCAGAGGGCTGGTCAGTTGTCCTGGAAGGTCCCTTCTAACCAGAGAGTGTAGGGTTTGACGAAATCTCTCACAGATCCCAATTCTTTCAGTTCGTGACATTGACAAGTCCTCCCGGCTCTCAAGCTTCTGGCTTGAACATCCTCTCCCAGCCCGTCCTGCCTGCCAACCATCCCCTCCTCGTGGACTCTGGGATCAGTGAGTTGGGAGAACAGGTGGCTGTGCATGGATCATCCTGGAAATCTGACAGCATGGTCTCCAGCCCAGGGACTAGGGAGGAGGGACAGCAGAGCACTAGATTACAGGGTGTCTGCCACCTGATTAAATCAGCACGAGCGTCCAGTGCTGTGGAGATGCAGCACGCCAGGCTCACTCCTGGGCCCCAGGCCCAGACGTTAGTCACAGAACCGCAGTCAGAGCGCCAAGGGCCTTCAGCAGCCCCTTATCCAGCCTCTGCATTTCACATGTGGGGATACTGAGGCCCAGAGAGGGGAAGCAACTTGTCAGAGACCACGCAGCATTCCTTCAGCAAAATATTAAGGGTCTGCTGTGCCAAGCACTGTGCTTGTGACTGGGAATACTAAGGGTGAACAGAATAGCCATGAGCTCCAGGCTCACGGTTTACATGTTAGTGGAGGAAATGGGAAAAAGCAGAGATTGTGATCTGTGCTATGAAGCACATGAAGTACTTCAGCCAAGTCGATCAAGGGAGGTCTCTCTGGGAAGGGGCCATTTAAGCTGAGGCTTGAAGGATGAGAAGTGCATGCTGTTTGTGTGCGTGTGTTGGGAGGATGTGTTCCAGGCGGTGCCCCCAGGCGGGGATGAGTTCCCGGCGTTTGAGGAGCTGGCACAGGGCAAGGGCAGGCGAGAGGAGCACAGAGGGGAAATTTGAGGTGATTGGAGTCTGGAGCACACAGGGTCTTGTGGGCCGAGAGGAGAGGTCTGGACTTTATTTCTGTTGCACTCTGAAGCCATTGGAGGGTTTTATGCACGGGAGTGGCAGATGTGCGGTAACTTTTCCTGCTTTTCCCGGTGGAGGGGCTCCTTGGGAGCCCTGTCACCCTGGAGGCTTGCAGAAAACACGGCAGGCAATGCTATCAGTGCAAGATGAGCCCGGCTAAACCTTGTCTTTGGTGATCTCTGCGCACTTTACCCACATTAGGTAATTAGGCCACTCAACATTACTTGAAGTTCCCTATTCCTACCATGTGTCGCAGATCCAGAGACTCAAGTGCTGTGGGACCCTGTGGGAATTGGCAAACCTCTCTGATCCAGTGACTGTCACTGAGTCAGGCAGTCAGGCAGCTTCATTAGTTTGCCACAGCCTTTCCCTATTTCGTTTCTGTGACCAGCACTCATCTTCTTTGCCACAGAGGTGTGAAATGTTAGAAACTACCATCAAGACTGCTCGGATGGAAAGAAGTTTAGTTCTAGATGGCCATAGTTAGGCCGTAGTTCGTACTTTGGCTCCTGTGACCACACCTCCTTCCTGGTGCCGTGAGCAGTGCAGTGAGCCTTCAAGGATGATGACACAGATCAGTAATCCAATCATCAAACCTTGACAATGTGACCTCCTTGAGTCACATGACCTCATCTGCGATAAAGGGCAGCTCATTTCTTTCCTCTTCTCAACCAAGGAAAAGGCCTGAGGAAGTCTTGGCGGGGAAAGTCATAAACATCCCTGAAGGTCGCCAAATGCCAAATCAATCTGCCTTACCTCCTACCCTCCCTTTTAATCTAAACAATCCCCACTCTCCAATTTTAAGTCCTAACTCAAGTACAGCCACCTCCAAGAAGTCTTCCCTAACTGCCTTTTCCCCGTCCCTCTGGCCTGTGCTCCTCTCTGCCTCCCCTTTAGTCTCCTGAACTTGTCTGTACCATGTATTTAGTGACTGGCATGGCATCAGCCTGTGCAGAGATCTAAATGAGGGTAGTTGGCTGGGAGTAACAAACACCAGAGGAGGCTGGGACCTGAGGCTCACTAGTGTGTGCTGGGCCCATCTAATCACAGTTAAACTCAATTAAAAAAAAAACAATACTGTGTGGGCCAAACAAAACATGCTGTGGGCTGACATTGGCCAGTGGGCTGGCAGCTTGCAACAGCTAGAATGTTATCTGGAGGAGAAGGCATTGCACTTAGAATCTTTAGAAGTCCTGGAGCAGCCACCAACTAGCAGTGTGAGTCAGATAAATACCTAATCTTTCTGAGCCCCAGTTTCCTTATCTATAATTAGCGTAACACTGGCTCTGCTTTCTTCATGAAACTTGAAGAATGGTTGCCTTGACTCTATGCCAGTGACCACTAGCCTTTTTAATAATGACAGACATTTATTCAGCACTTACTATTTGTCAGGCACTGTTCTAAGCATTTTACAAGTATTAACTTACTTAGTCCCCACAATAACCCTAAGAGGTAGGTGCTGTTATCATCTCCATTTTACAGATGACAAAACTGAGGCAAAGAGAGGTGAAAGAACTTGCCCAAGGTTACAGAGGTGGTGGGTGGCAGAGCTGGGACTATAACACCCTTACACAAATACTGGTTCATTTAACGTTCTCTGAATTTTATCAAGCAAGTATTTCCCTTTTCACCGTTTTATAGATGGAGACACTGAAGCTCAGAGAAGTGAAGTAACTTGCCTGATATCACACAGCTTGGAAGTGGACAAACCTGAGCTTCAGCCCAATTCTTTGACCCCAAACCCTTTGCCCTTTTTTCTGTGCCATATGTAAAGGACAGGCAAGCGGTCTGTGAAGAGAACAGTGTGCTGGTATGGGGAGTTTTGTTCCCCAGGGCAGAAAACATGTCTTGCCCTTTCTTTTTTCTTTTGTTTTTTTTAACTTTTTATTTTATATTGGGGTAAAGCTGATTAACAATGTTGTGATGGTTTCAGGTGCACAGCAAAGCAACTCAGCCATCCATATACATGTAGCCATTCTCCCCCAAACTCCCCTCCCATCCTGTCTTGCCCTGTCTTGTTTCTACTCCAGTCCCTAGCTCAGGGCCCTTCTGTCCTGGAGCTCAGTTATGATCATGTTGCCAAGAAAATTGCCTTCTGCCTTCATTTTGACTGCTGATTCCCACCTGCCCCCATGAACTTGGATGTTTCTTGACCCTGGAATGTTTAAACATGGTTACCTTCGTTTGGCTATGAGAGTTTTGCGTTTTCAATGTGTGCTATCTCTGTTTCCTGTGGTGTGATGCAGGGGTCTGGAATGGGAGGGGAGAGACCTGGGCTCTGATCTTGATTCTGCTGCCCCAGAATCCTGGAGCAAGTCACTGAACTTCTGTGGGGCTCAGTTCTTCAGCTGCCAACTGGGGACATTCACATCTGTCCTCTCTCTGTGAAAGCCCTTTGGGAAATGCAGTGTGGTACAAATAGAAGGTGGGCTGCTGTGAGGTAAGGCATACCATAGGTGCTCAATAGATGACACCTCACTGACTATGTGGAGGGGATTTGCCACGATGTGGAGACAATACTCATAATACAATGTTAAGGGGGAAAAAAAGCAAAAAATAAAGCTGTTGAATGGGCAGTATGATCTCAATTATGTAAAATACAAACAGAAAACAGACTAGAATACACCAACTTGCCTATGATTGCCTCTGGGTTGTGAGCTTATATGTGGGTTTTGCTTTGCTAGACTTAATTTTTTTTTTCTACTTGCAAAAGTTAGCCCATTTTGTATTATATCTTATCATTTTTAAAAAATTTATTTATTTTTTTTGCGGTACGTGGGCCTCTCACTACTGCGGCCTCTCCCGTTGCGGAGCAACAGGCTCCGGACGTGCAGGCTCAGCGGCCATGGCTCACGGGCCCAGCCGCTGCGCGGCATGTGGGATCCTCCTGGACCGGGGCACGAACTCGTGTCCCCTGCATCGGCAGGCGGACTGTCAACCACTGCGCCACCAGGGAAGCCCTATATCTTATCATTTGAAAGTATATCTGTAATTTATATTTATTATATATAATAAATATATTTATTATATGCATTATACATTAAGTACATATATATTAAGTGTTTATATATAGATAAATATATAAAATTTAGCACTTGGCCCTTGACAGTGTTGCTTTGGTTACCAACGCATTGATGCGATCAGGAGTGATCCTGCATCGTTCATTCAATCATTCCTTTGTCCAGAAAACATACTGGGGGCTAGCTGTGTAAAGGCAGCACTGATGGTTACTATAAGCAACACTAAGAAGAATGGGGTATAATCCTTGCCCTCAAGAAATATATTATAATCTAGATGGAGGATGAGGCATATTTATAAGTAATCATAATTGAAGACAGAAAGTAGTAAATGCTTTAGGGAAATTGTCACTAGGAGTTAAGAGAGGGGAGAAATCTATTCGAACTATGGAGATTAAATAAGATTTTTGTGAAGAAGTTGGCATTTTGTGCTGAGCCTTGAAGGACCAGTAGAATTCTGGACAAGTGGAAATGGAAAGCCATCATTGGCAATAATTAAAGCAATGAAAGGTAATATTTACTTAGCATATACTATGTGTCAGGCATTGTGCTTTTAAATTACACACATTCTCTCATTTAAGGTTCACTGAAGCTCTGTGAGGAAAGTAGTATTATCATCTCCAATTGACAGATGGGGAAACTGAGGCTTAGAGAGAGGATGGATATTTTCCCGAGGTCATGAGGTGGTCAAGCTGGGATTCACGCTCAGGACCTCACAGCTATGTCAGAGTGAGAGAAATAACATGACTTGAGGCAGGAAAGCATGGGACCCACAGGGGATTAGATGGGAGCTTCCTAAAGGCAGGGAATGTGTGTCTTGCCCTCCTCTCCATGTCCAGGGCCTGGACAGTAGCTGGCACATTATAGATGCTTAATAAATATTTGTCGAAAGAAAGAATAAAACAAAGAGTGAGTGGTCCACTGTTGCTGGAGCGTAGGCCTGTGTGGCTAAAGGCAGTAGGACAGGCAGGGATGTGCACGCGGAGATTTTAAGCAGAGGCAGGGCCCGTCAATCAAAGAGCCAGAGAATTGGCTCAGGCAGTGTGGTAGGCTGCATGGCAGGGAGGAGAATTTAGTTGGTGGGGAAGCACATCAGGAGACCACTTGAGACAGTGCAGGAATACCAGGGAGGGGAGTGGGGCTGGGGGAATAGGCTGTGTAGGTGGAATGGCGTGGAAAGAGTCGTGGGATGGTGCCTGTCTCGAACTCAGTGGTGAACGTATTAAAAGTTGATTTTCTATCAGACCTTCTTTGCAAATCTGTCCTCCTCTTTTACCAGCCTCGTGGGGTGGCTTGGGCGGCCCCTGAGCCTACTTCCTCATCTGTAAAATGGGGATAATCACACTTACAGAAAAGGGTTGCCCTGAGGGTTAACCGTGTATCATGGGAACAGTCAGTACCCTCCCCTACTCCTTAGCCCCCTTACATGTGAACTATTGCTTTTTGCATCTATTTGACAAGAGGAGATCTAGGCTTTTGTGAACTGAAGTAAATTTCTTGGCATGTGCCATAAGGCCCAAAAGTCTTCAGGTTTTGGAAAACACTCTCTAGCTGATACTGTTTGTTTGGCCAGTGCCCCTCCCTGTTTGGCCAATGCCCCTCCCCTCTCCACCCACTCTTCCATGTTGGTATAAAGAGGCCTCAAGCCCAGAAGCCCCTGGTATCAGAAGAAGATAAGTGATACGGCCCAAGTTCTTCCAGAAACAAAAGTTTCTTTGGAAAATCAAACTCAAAGAGGAATAAAAGTGAATGTCCAAGTATGTTAAATTTTCCTTCCGACCAAGCACAGGTAACAAGCACAGATAAAGGAACCATCCCCCTTTTACATGTGTTCCCCCCAGAAAAATAGTTTCAGGGAAACTGTATCTTTCTTTACACCCATAAGCTCAATGGGCAGGTATTACGCTTCCTGTTTTGTGAACAGAGAAATGGAAGCCCAGGAAGGCTCAGGAGGCTGCCCCAACTCATTCAGCAAAGCCAGAGACGGGACCGGGTTATAAACCAGGTCTTCTGTCTCTAGTCCCTCATTCAGCCTCCTTGTATCTCTTTAGGAAGTTGTCAGCACCAGGAGCAAACAAGCACATAATTATAAATAGGTATTTGGACCCACTTTATTTATTTATTTTAAAGCAAACGTTTCCTTTTCTTTTTTTAATTTAAATTTATTATTTATTTATTTATTTTTGGCTGTGCTGGGTCTTTGTTGCTACACGCAGGCTTTCTCTAGTTGCAGAGAACGGGGGCTACTCTTCGTTGCGGTGCGTGGGCTTCTCATTGTGGTGGCTTCTCTTGTTGTAGAGCACGGGCTCTAGGCGCACGGGCTTCAGTAGTTGTGGCACACGGGCTTAGTTGCTCCACGGCATGTGGGATCTTCCCGGACCAGGGATTGAACCCGTGTCCCCTGCATTGGCAGGCGGATTCTCAACGACTGTGCTAACAGGGAAGTCCCTATTTATTTTTAAATATTTATTTATTTATTTGTTTGGTTGCACTGGGTCTTAGTTGCGGCAGGTGGGCTCCTTCGTTGCGGCTCGAGGGCTCCTTAGTTGCGGCATGCATGTGGGATCTAGTTCCCTGACCAGGGATCAAACCCAGGCTCCCTGCATTGGGAGTGCAGTCTTAACCACTGTGCCACCAGGGAAGTCCCTGGACCTACTTTATAATTTTTAGTTTTTAAGTTTGATTTTCTCTCTCTGTGTGTCTGTGAGTTTTAAGCCTAGGATGTGTTGAAGCCACGGGCACAGCACAAGCTGGTCTGATCCTGGGAATTCCCTGGTGGTCCAGTGGTTAGGGCTTGGTGCTTTCAGTGCCATGGGCCTGGGTTCAATCCCTGGTCGGGGAACCAAGATCCTGTAAGCTGTGCGGCGTGGCTAAAAAAAAAAAAAAAAAAAAAAATGTTAGTCTGATCCGTGTTGCTTTCTGCCTAAAGCATATCTTGTTTAACAACTTCTTTTTTGGCTTGAGGTCACCTATTGCTTAATTACTTGGTTCCCCCCAATTAGAAATTACCTTTTGGAGAGACAGGATTCAACTTTTTTAGTATGTTACCCAGTCCTATGTATTTGATGAGTTCATAAATACCTGTGGATATGGCAATGGAGGGAAGAGGGGCAGCCTTACAGTGTGGTATGGGAGGTAAAAACAGGCCTGGGAGTTAGCTGCTGCCTGGGACCCTAGGCACCCACCTTACTTTCTTTTTCTGAACTTCAGTTGTTTTCATTTGTAAACAAAGATAATAACAGCTCCAATGCCTGGCACATAGTAGGGACACAATAGATATTTGTGGAAAAAATTAATACCTATCTCATAGGGTTAATGTGAGGATTAAATGAGATAATGTATGTCAAGTATTTCTCATAGAACTTAGCATGTAGTAGTTACTTAATAAAAGTAGCTACTCTGAACAATTTGGTCATTAGTAGTATTTAGAACTGAACACATGCATATAGAATGCCACAGCAGGTCAGAAATTAAAAAAACAAGAACTGGACTTCCCTGGTGGCGCAATGGCTAAGAATCCCCCTGCCAGTGCAGGGGACACGGGTTCGAGCCCTGGTCTGGGAAGATCCCACATGCCGCGGAGCAACTAAGCCCGTGCACCACAACTACAGAGCCTGTGCTCTAGAGCCCACAAGCCACAACTACTGAACCTGCGTGCCACAACTACTGAAACCCATGCTCCGCAATAAGAGAAGCCACTGCAGTGAGAAGCCCGCGCACTGCAACAAAGAGTAGCCCCCACTCACTGCAACTAGAGAAAGCCCGCGTGTAGCAACAAAGACCCAATGCAGCCAAAAATCAATCAATTAATTAATTAATTTTTAAAAAACTGAATTCAAATTGCAATTCCATCATTTCCAGTAGAAGAAGCTACTGGATTTAGGATCAGGAGATTCAGGTGTGAGACCTGACTCTGCCATGGACTAGCTGTGTGACCTTGGTTAAGGAACTTGACTTCTCTGAACTTCAGTTTCCTGAAAAACAAGGGGACTGAGTAATCATTAAGATTCATTTTTCCACTCTAACAGCCTCAGTTTAAGATGTGGTCTCATGCAGGTTACCTTCTCTTACATTCTCTGGCCCCAGTTCGCCCATCTGTAAAATGGCACATGAGTGTTTAGGAGCCCCTCTCTGGGGGCACGGCAGGCCCAGGGTGTGAAGATCTCAGTGCCCCTCCAGCCTGCACACAGGGCCAGGTGGTGCTCGTTCAGCTCAGACTGAATACTGGGTAGCATGAATAAGTTACTTGTCCCCACAGAGTCCTGGTCCCCTCACAAAGTGTATGGGGGCACTTCTCCCCTCTACCTCCAATTATAGGAATATAGAATGACTTCCCTGGTGGCGCAGTGGTTAAGAATTCGCTTGCCAATGCAGGGGACACAGTTTTGATCCCTAGTCCGGGAAGATCGCACCTGCCGCGGAGCAACTAAGCCCGCGAGCCACAACTACTGAGCCTGTGCACCACAACTACTGAAGCCTGCGTGCCTAGAGCCCGTGCTCCGCAACAAGAGAAGCCACCGAAATGAGAAGCCTGCGCACCGCAACAAAGAGTAGCCCCCGCTCGTCGCAACTGGAGAAAGCCCGTGCACAGCAACAAAGACCTAATGCAGCCCCAAAAATAAATAAAATAAAAAATAAAAGGAATATAGAAAAGAATGACCAACAATGACCATTATGTCCCCTTTTAAAAAGTTCAGAGAGGTTCTAATGTGGATCCTCTTCAGGAAATATTTATCAATAAATAAAATAAAAAATAGTGCATTCTGGTGACAATGTACAATAATTTACCTTCTGATCAAGGGTATATATAATGTAATTATGAAGAATCCTGCTTTAATTCATCAAGATCCCTTTAATCATTAGCTTCCTTGGTATCTCTTTTGAAGCAGTGGCCTCAGTCTCTATAACATACACAGCATTTTGACTGACATTGTCTCACTTGACTCCTCACAAAAGCTGAGACGGTAGAAGCAAGTCAAGCTTAATTTACCCCCATTTTTCCACCAGGGAAGGGAGGGCCCAGGGAAGTGCTGCGAGCTGGCCAAGGTGTGGAGGCCATGTTAGGGAAGAGTTGGGATTAAACATCAGATTGCCTGGCTGTGCCCAGGAGCACCCCTCCCCCAGTAGTCCTTGTTACAGCAACCCTACAACTGGCCTCACCCCTTGGGGGCAGTTTCAGGAAGCCTTTTAATAAGCTTTATCCTCTATCCAGCAGGTCGGGTGTTCTAATCCTTCTTTTGGAGATGGCTAACACTTTAGGCTGTTATGTCTTAAGCAGGTGGGATCACAGCCAGCCAGAGGCCAGGACTTCTCCAAGTGAAGTGTGGGACCACAAGCACCCAAGGGGTCTTGCTAGACATGCAGATTTCTGGGTCCAATCCCAGACATGCCTGATTCCAAATGCTTTGGAATCTGCATTCAAGGTTTTCCCTCATCATCCAAAGTAGCTGATCTAGGCTAACCTATGAGACAAGCACTTGTTTATCACTTAAGTTGTTTTACTGTCTCTTTCTCCACCTTAGAATGTAAATTATAAGTCTGGTTTATTTCCAAACTCTGTTTCCTAGAACCCCTACAGTAAATATTTAATTGAATGTGTACTAAAATTTGAAACTCCTGTCATACACCATTCCTTCATTTTACACTAGGGAAACTGAGGCGCAGCTGCTGCAGAGTTGGTAAGGGGCAGAACCAGGGTCAGGATAAAATCTCTCTCCAGGGTCCCAATCGGGCATTTATTTCTTCGTCTCCGCCCCAAGCAAGCCTCGTAAATGAAATCCACTTGAGAAAAAAATTTTCTGCCCATAAATACTCGGTTTCGGAGCTTGGCCTGGTTGGGGTCTGTTGGTAATTTCCCGTTCATTTTCGTAGGCGCCCAATGCCCCCAAGGGTTAAGGGCCCGCCTTCCAGGCTGGGCGTCGAAACCAACTCCGGGCAGTGTCCCGGCCGGGGCCGCCTGGGAGGAGCTGAGCACAGTCCGCGGAGGTAAGGCCGGCTGGCCCAAGGTCACTCAGGCGGGGCCTGCAAGGGGCAGGCCCACGGGACGCCAGGGAGCCGTTAGCACCCACCTCCATCATCCTGTAAGTGGAGGGTGACATTAATGGCTCCTTTCTCGGAATCTGGAGCAGCCAACCTAAAGAGCGCGAGCAGGCCCGGCCGGCCGCGTGGCCCACTCCCATGTGCTCCACCTGCGGCCGCTCTCACGCGCTGGCTCTTTAAGACACTTCCCCCTCTTTACCATCCCTTCTCTCCTGCCCGGCTCGCTGCCCCCGCCCGCTCCCGAATTGCATCAGGCACGTGCTCGCCCCCGTCAGGTCTGAGTACCCCTCACCCACCAGCCCCGAGGTGCGCCGAGGAATCGGAGGCGAGGGGCGGGGCAAGGGGCGGGGCTGCGAGGCCCTGCGCGCGCGCTCCCGCCGCCTTCGCCCTCCCGTCGCCCACTGCCCGCTCCGGCGGGCGCGGCCCCGTTGCGCCTTCCCCTCCCCTTGCCCGCTGCGTCGCGAGGCGCGCGCCCGTCCGCCGCCTGCCGCGGATCGCGTGGTCAGCTCGGCTCGCCGCGCCTCTCCCCCGTCCGTCCATATTGCTGCAGCCCCCGAGCCGGGAAGCCCGGGCCGCCCCGGCGGCGGGGGGGAGGGAGGGACGGGACGAGAAGCCTGCCAGGCTCGGGGTGGGGACGCCTTGCGAGGAACGGGCGGGGGGGGACGCGCGCCGAGGAGGCCTGGACCGCATAGTGGGGGGCCTTCGTCCCCCCCCCCGCCCGGCCAGCGGGCCTTGGATCTACGGCGGCTGCGTTCGACCCGGAGGGGAGCCGCGCCTAGCGTGAACCCCGACCCTTCTCCGCCGGGACTGGGGCCCAGCGCCCCGGAGGAAGGCGTCGCGGGCGCTCGGAGAGCCAAGTTCGAGGCGGGGGAGGCAGCCTCGGGCGCGCCCGGCTTCTCCGGGGGGGCGGGCGCGCAGATGGCCACTCAGGTGGAGCCGCTGCTGCCGGGGGGCGCCCCACTCTTGCAGGCCGAAGAGCACGGGGGGTTGGTGAGGAAGAAGCCGCCGCCGTCGTCCGAGGGCAAGGGCGAGCCCGGGGCGAACGACGTCGGAGGGGGGGAGCCGGACGGCGGCGCCCGGAGACCTCGGCCGCCCTGCGCCAAGCCACACAAGGAGGGCACAGGGCAGCTGGAGCGCGAGAGCCCGCGGCCACCGCAGCCGCCTGGCGCCGAGGGCCCGGCCGTCAGCGACGGGGAGGAGGGCGGCGGCGGCGAGCCGGCCGCTGGCGGAGGAGCTGCCGGAGCCGCGGGCGCCGGGCGCCGAGACTTCGTGGAGGCCCCTCCGCCCAAGGTGAACCCGTGGACTAAGAACGCGTTGCCGCCGGTCCTGGCCACCGTGAACGGACAGTCTCCTCCAGGTGGGTCTTTCTGTTTGTTATCCTGGGTCCGGGGCCTCTTCCGGGGACATAGGCGTCCCCTCCCCCAGCGGCCTCCAGGGCCCGGGGGTCCGCCGCTGGTCGTGGTGATTCGGGGTTTTTGTTTTTTATTATCTCCTGGCTCATTCGGGTCGCCGTGCCCTGTCCCCCAGCACACTCAGGAACCTGCCCCTGCCAGAGGGCCCGGCCTCCGGGAGGCTGCGGCCACCGCCTGGGCCGCAGCGGTTAGTGGGCAACGGCGTGGTCCGGGCCTACCTCGCGGGGAGAGGGTGGGCGCTGGTTTCGGTGAAAAGGGCTCTCTCCCCCTACCGCATGTTAGTGTAAGAGACGGTTTCCAGCCTGAACCTTCCTGGGGAAGCCCCCTCTTACCACTCCGCCCCATGCTTCTCGTTTTGGTAGCGTTGCGATCGTCCCCATGTTGTAAATGTTTAATAAGTATATGTCATAGGCAGCAAAACGCCCGGCAATGAGTTCATACCGACCACACAGATTCGGGATTTAAAAGTTAACAAGTTTTGTTCTCGAGTAGATAGTATTAGGTGGTAGAACGGCCATTGGCGATGGGTTCAGGGGTCGGTTACGGGCAGAATGGGGAGAAGAGGAAACCCAACGTGTCATTGAATTCGGTGCTTTCCCTCCCTGATCCTGGGGACCTTCCGTCTTGAGAGGGAGCCGAATGGAGAGCGTGCGGGGCATCCAGTGAGGGGGAAATGTGAGGCGAGTAAGGGGGCATGCGGCGACGCGAGGGGCGTGTGGCGGCGGGGGAGGGAGTGGCAGGGCCGGGAGGGCGGGCGGGTGACAGTTGGGCGTCTTACGCCGCGCCGCCGACCCGCGGGCTGCTCGCGACCGCTCGGCCTGGGCGTTCGGGGCCCGCCTCGGCGCTCGGGGTGGAAGGCGGGTGCGGGCGGGCGGCGCGGCCAGGAGTGTGCGTGTGCGCGGGTGTGAGTGCGCGTTCCTCCTTCCCGGCATTCCTCCGCAGCCGGGACAACGTGGTGCCACCCCGCGCGGCGAGTGGCATGTGACTGCCGACCGGCGCTCCGCGCGCCCTCCCTCCCTTCTCGGCTTTGGGTCCTTTTGGACCCGGCCTCTTGGGGAAGGTGGGAAGTCCCCGCAGAGCGTTGTCAGTGGCGCTGGGGGGAGAGAGGCGGTGCAGAATATGGAGGTTCGGCTCGGCCTTCCTTTGCCAAAAATAGATCGTCGGCTTTGGTAGGGGGCGCGCCCGCCCTGCTCCCTTTGCCGGCGCGTATAGGCACAGTGGTGCTGGATTCTTCGGTTCAGGGTCTTTCTGTAGTGGTTCGGTGTTAAAACACGCTTGGAGCTAGAATGATGGCCTGTGGCCATAGCCGTATTGGTTTTTCAAAACTCCTCTCCTTCTGTAGCGCTGGTTGAGGCTGACTGGTTTAAACCATCAAAATGGGGAAAGGGAAGCTTAATGCCTTTACATTCAAGGGAATAGAATCCTTTGTAGTCCTAGGGGAACCAGAACAGCGAATTCTGAAAATGGCATGTTGTAATTTTTATTTCTTTTAAGGTTGCTTCATTTGGAGGAGGGGACATTTGGCGTTTACTAATAGTACCTCAAACCGTGTTCTCTTCCTTTTGCCCTCCTCCCCTTCCCCCCGTTCCTTCCAGAACCCTCTTATGCAAAAGGCAGTGCTGAAACCTCCATTTTCTTGCAAATCCCTCCTGATCCACCCACAGAGGGAGGAATAGCAACTTTAAGACACTCTTTGGTCCTTCCCCCCTCTTTAAACTCAAGGAGATATAATCATGCCCAGGAGAGAGCACTCCTCAGAAGTTTAAATGGGGCTACTCACTCTGGCTGCTGCTGCTTAGCTAATGGTGAACCTACCTTGTGGGTTTTACATCAGCATGACATCAGGTGGTATTGGGTGCTTGAGCTGGCATTTTGTGCAAGTCCAGGGGCCCTTGATAGGGTGCATCACTGGGGTTATTGATCGTTGGAAGAGGACGGCTTGGCTGGCATCTCGCCTTTACCTCTGAGTTCTTAGAAAAGCCAACTTGCTTTAAGTGCCCACAGCAAAATTCTGAGTCCGGTAGATTTACTCTGTTCTTGTTAGGTGAGAAAGTGTCTTGTCTACTCATTGGTTTTGAACTTGCAGAATAGTCTTTGACAGACAAACTCTGAATTCAGTAGCTTTTCTGTTTAAGCCAGTTGTTAGGGCTTGGATGCTTTTTGAGGGAGAATTTTGTGGTCAGGGTAGATGGTGGCACTTTCTTTGAAGTTTACGTGGATCACTAAGGCCCTTTTCCAGCCCTGATTTTATTTACAGCTTGGACAAGTTTAAATGAGACACCGATGGAATGACAGTGTGGTCTTGGGAAATTTTGTGTTCTGTGATGCATATGTTTTGGGTGCCTCATAAGCAAGCCAAAAGCTTTCCAAAGCTTGCTGCAAATGCCTATTTTTAGCTCTCCTTTTGGCTCAGATGCTAGTATTTTAGTTCTTTAAGGGACACATGCAGTAACTAGTAATAAAAGATGTTTTGCTATATCCCCCCTTGCGGGGTTCTCTGGTCTGGTTTAAGCTTCTGTGTCTTAGTAGTTTTAAATCTTGGGATTTGCATTTTGGTTTTTTGTATTTTCTTCCCCTAGAATATTTTGAAAACATTAAATATTTTTTCCTTATCTTAACCACAACTCTTTAAGTATGAGAGAGGCAAGATGTCTTAGTTAAAGAAGTGAGGGCTTCCCTGGTGGCGCAGTGGTTAAGAATCTGCCTGCCAATGCAGGGGACACGGGTTCGAGCCCTGGTCTGGGAAGATCCCACATGCCGCGGAGCAACTAAGCCCGTGAGCCACAACTACTGAGCCTGCGCGTCTGGAGCCTGTGCTCCACAACGGGAGAGGCCGTGACAGTGAGAGGCCCGCGCACTGCGATGAAGAGTGGCCTCCGCTCGCCGCAACTGGAGAAAGCCCTCGCACAGAAACGAAGACCCAACACAGCCAAAAATAAATAAATAAATTTAAAAAAAAAAAAAAGAAGTGATACATAGCAAAGGTTCTGGGACCAAAACTGCATGGGTTCAAATGCCAGCTCAACCACTTGCTTAGCTGTGCCTCCTGCAGGCTACTGAACCATTCTGTGCCGCAGCCTCTCCATTTGTATTCTAGAAATTAAATTATGTATCTGCCTCATGGGGCTATTGTGAGCATTCACTGTGATGATATGTGTGAAGTATTTAGCTTGGTGCCTGGCACGTGTTTTCTGTTGTACCATGTCTGGGAGACTGAAACTGTGGGATTTTCTGGGACTTTTTCTGGGTCTCTGTTTTCTCCACCTGTAAAATGAGGGGGTTGGAGAGTGTTGTACTTTCCTTTTCTGGCATTGTATTAGTACTCCCTGAAACATATGGGATCTGTCTCCTTAAAAGTGAGCTTTTGCTTATCCACAGACATGAAGGGCATGGTATGGATAATCTTAAAGGTTGATGACCCAAGTAATTGGCTGTTTTTTCTTTGGAATGTGTTATGATGAATGTTTTAAAAATAAGTTTTAATTTATTTGCCTTTCGTAAAGATTACTTTTTGGCGGAGTGTTCACGTGCTCTCAGGGCTGTGGGGAAAGGCGAGCCTAACTGAACTAAAAATTTGCTGTGGCTGGTGTACATGTAGTAGGTAGAGACTTGAGAGCATATCATCCCCACAAGCTTCCAGCAACCCTAGCAGGGAATCAGTGGGTTGATTGTCTGACACTTCTAACTTTGTGTAGTAAGAAAACACCAGTACTGTGATCTTTTTCTTCATTTCTCTTTAGAGGAAAGTCGGGGGCAGGGCCTGAGACTTGAATATTTATATTCTGGGCATCATTTTTTTCTGTGTCTCTTTGAAGTGCAGCTAACTGGTGACACAAAATAAAAAAGGGTTATAATCCCAGCTAACCCATGGCAACCCCAGGAATCTGCCACCACACTGAACTGGCCCCAAATAAACCTCCACTCCCAGTCTCAGTTTTCTTCCTGGGTTTGGGCCCTTTCCCATCTTCCCTCCCCCACCAACCCCACAACTGGTTGTACTCTGTGGGGCATCCATGTGGATCAGTCAGTCTTCGTTGCATGAAGACTTCACGGTGTCAGAGCTACTTCAGACCCTGGCTCCTTCCTTCCTCACCACTAGAAGTGGACTGGGTGGAATTACACAGTCTGTAATTTTGAGTCCCAGCTTTGCTTCTAACTTGGTGTGCAATCTTGGCCAAATTACTCAGCCTCTCTAAACCATTGTTCCTTCCTCCTCAAAATGGGAGTAATGGTAGTAACTATTTCATAGGGTTGTGAAAATCAAGATGTTTAGCATAACCTTTAGCTTAATGCCAGGTACAGAGCATCTAATAAGTGCTAGCTATAATAAATGATCACCATTGTTAGTAGTGTTCATTTCACTTGTAATTCTGCTTGTGTCCAGCATTGTGGACACTAGCAACCCCCATACTTTCTCTGTACCTGTGTTTCTTCATCTGTAAAATGAGGGAATTGGAATATGTCTTCAAAGTTTTTTTAGTATCAAAAACACTTTCTCCGATAAACCCCTTCCCCACAAAAGAAACCAAAGCAGAGCCTTTTATTATTATTATTATGTAAGTTTCAGGTGTACAACAGTAATTCCCAATTTTTACAAAGCAAAGCTTTTTAAGTGTGTATATTCGTATCTGCCATAGTGGTTAAGAACTCCAGTTTTGAATCCAGGTTCTGTGAGTGCTGGAGATACTCTTCTGGCTTCAGGAACCTGAGCCAATTGCTTGGGGGTTCATATCAGAGCAACCTGTGTAGCAACCAGGCATTAAGTGCCTTACAATGAATGTGGTAATAGAAAGTACACAGTGCTGTCTATAAAAATTGCCTCCACCAAATAGAAATTGAACCCACACCTAATAGAACCATAGGTCTGTGAGGTTAGAGGAACGCATTGATTGACCATGAGGTAGCAGTTATCCAATTTCTGAATGTGAGAAATTCTACAAGACAG